TGTTCACTGGTATCATACCACAGTCCAGACATTTCCTCCATATACTCCTGGACCTTTTCACTCACTCAGGAGCGAACGGGCAAAGAGAAGAGAGCTGGTCTACAGAAATAATAATGGTCCACATCTCAAAACCCTAATTGTAAATCGTCTCCCTGATCATAATTAAATGAACCAAAAGTTTAATAAGACTGGACACATTTAATTCTTTGTACTCCACAGATTAAAGAACAATTAGGAGGCTGGAAGCTGAAAAGTGGCTTAAGCTAAATTTACACAATTGTGTGGACAAAATTCATTTGGCCACAGGAAAGCATTTACATGTTTAATATAGGATATTTTGAATAGGTTTATACTGGCCTAAAAAATAGCATATTGAATAGGTTATTATTGCAGTAAAATGCTTGCTGTATACCTGAGTAATGAGACCACCAAATGTAAAAAAACCCACACGCAGAATGTGCAGGCTCTTGGCCATTTCTCTCTCTGCCTCAAAATCCAAGTTGCAGGGCTTTAGGCCACCATATTCAATTAAAACAAATTCAAACTATAATTTTCTAATACTTTCTTTACAGTTAAGTACAACACTGGCCAATGTTTACCAGGTTACAATGCAAAGCAATTCAAGTGATAATCACAATGAATGTGTAATCTAATGCCCATTTGCCTTGATTTATACATATCAGCCTCATGCATCCATCCATTTTAAGTCACTGGGAAGGATCATGTTTTTCCTGATCTGAGTCAGTGTTAGGGCTGAACTTAGGCAGTTCATTTTTATTTGTTTGCATGAACCAGAATCAGTCTTTACACATAGTGGAAGATGCCTGGGGCTGCACAGTCCTCTGCAATCTCAGCAATTGGCCCTCTCATCCCATGTGATAGTTATGCTGAAAAATATAAGCTCAACCAAATTTCCAACTGCCCTTCCAACTGTAGAAGAAACAGATTAGACTGTTCTTTACTTCTGAAGAAAGGGTCCCAAAAAGGTCAGTCTTCCATATGAAATACAGATCATTAACACTGGATATACAACTATTGTGATGCTCACTTTTTGTTTATATAACTGGGATTTGATTGTAACCATTTCAGGAGGTTCTATACTTTATATATGTGGCCTTTAAGGCCCCTTTCAAACCATTCTATGATTCTAAAAATGTCCCAACCCTTTCATGTACTACTCCTTGTCTGCAAATAAAGCTCACTAATGTAGAGAAATTATGATTTTTATTTAACAACACAATAGTTTTGTGTTGAGTACAAAGGCGGAATGAAACCACAGCTGCTTTCATGCAAACTCTCATATCTCATCAGTTAGATGCAAACACAACACGTAACAGAACAACAGGCTGCTCATTCCTAAAAGTGTCCAAATTCCAATTAGAATAAAATGATAGAATTCTCAAGTATCTGAAAAGACACTACATTAAATGATAAGAATTCCAAGGTCAAACACCCATTCTGAGAAGTGCTTTAGCCTGGTTTGCACTCACCTTTTTTCAGAGACTAACAGCAGAAACAATACCCAAACAATTATAATTGGTGACCTTTTAACATAAATGATAATTTCTTAGGCTCAATCTTTTATATTCCATCCCATATTCTTCCAAATAAAAGCTGCCCAAAAATACTTTGCATGAAAAACTAAATGTTCCCAGTGACAACTCTGATCAAGTCATTCTTTGCACATGAACACTGAAAGATGCAACAACAGCAAGAACCACTAGTTATTCTTATAACTTCAAGACTAAACCCTAAATATAGTATGTTTTCAAAACCTCTTTCCTAAAATTCAAGTAATATGTTCATCGCTTTAACTGAAAGCTAACAAAGTACAACTTGTATTGTGCTGCAGGCCATAAAGGGAATGTTCTTTATTTGAGTCATGGTTGGATGAGGATGAAAAGTAGTTTTTGAAAATTTACAACAGTTTTGACACTAGTGTGTGTTTATCATTGCAAGTTATCCCTCTCTATTTATCAGACTGACTTTAGAGCTTTCACTACCTTCATAAAGGCAATTTTTATCAATTCTTCATGTCCTTACAGCTAACTAAAGGAAACTGCATAGAATACACAGAAAATCCATAGCTGAGGAAGAACAGGGATAAGAGAAGGACCCCAGTGTCTGCTTCAGGAAAGCAAGAGAGGCTATGGTTTAAAAGGAGCATTTAGTAATTCATTTGCCTCTAGCACAGCACTCAAGTGACATTTTGCTACCATGTACCTATCCTGAGTAACCATTCTGCTACATAAAAAATGTTCCCAAGGAAAAGGAACTTAAAATTAATGGAAGCCCCTTCTCCTCCACCCTACACTGACACATCACCAGCACTGCTTCCAGTATTTCACAGCAGAGAGCTGTACTTTGCTTGTGAATCCCACGGAAATCTTTATTACTTTACTCCAACCAAAGCTTTATTCAAAATAAAACTGTTCTTAATTTCTGGAGCGTATTTGGGAGGCTTGGTTTCATACAGAACAGGTGGTGCTTACCTGCCTGTGGCAGCCCTTGTTAGTTTTGTAAATTTAGACACTGGGTTTACAGTTGGAAAAATGAACTCTCGATTATGGAGTGATTTCAATACCTAATCTTCTAAATTTGACTTTCTGACAGATGAGTTACAAGCCTTCACATCAGTCTTTACTGACTGCACCAAGATGCAAATACAGGTCTACAACATGCCTACATTATTTATTGCAGGGAAAACACCAGTCTGCAGGAAAAATCCCTGGCACCAGCCTCTTCAGGTACCACCACAACTACCAAGAATTTTTTTAACAGAACCTCAAAGGGCAAGGAGAGACTACAGCTGATTCTGGAGCTTCCCAAACGACCCCAGGATGCTAAAGCAGAGGTAGAAATGTAGATAGCCTGTCACAACATGCAGCAAAGCCTTGCAGGAGCAAACAGAACCCTAACCTTTCTGCAAGGTGTCACAGTTCCAACTTACAGGTAAGGCAGCATCAGAGACAAGTGACTGCTGCAGTTTTCAAAGACTTGAGACTTAAAGGCTTGCTAGCAAAAGATTTTTCTCCCCTTTTGTTATCAGATACAGTTTTCTGTGGGATAACACAGCTTCCAACTTAGGTGATCCTTCAAAGGACTTTAGGGAGCACCTGGAGATCTTGCAAGATTCTAGACAGTAACACCAGGGCATGAAACACCTACACTGCAGTAAGATCACCTCAAACAAGATGTCCTGGCTTGGACATCTAATTAAATGTCCCATTAATTTATTTGCACATGTGTACAAAGACTTTGTGTGCTTACATGAAAACTCAGCAAATTAAAGCTAAGATGACATGAGCTACAACGCAACATTTTTCTACCTACGAGAAAGAATCAAATCAGTGTTTCTGTAACTTTTCCCACAATTTAAAAGGGTTTCTGTACACCTTCTTTGTGAAAGAAGCTGAATAATAATTACCTCATCACAACATTTAAGAAACACTTGTCACTGTGCGCTGCTGACAAAGAAGATCCACTAAAACTTTTCCTCTCAAAGCAAGACAGAAGCAAAGGCTTAGTCACTTCTTCACATAACAGAAGTTTGCTGAGCAATTTACCAAAAAACCAAGATATATTATTTCTCAAAGCAAAATAACACATTGCACTTGGAAGATGTGTGCTCTCCATACTGAACAACACCTGTTACATACCTGAAGGGGTTTCTTGAGCAAGCCAAGTCTCCCCAGGTGGTAATTACACTGATCAAATCATCCCCACACATGTTGTAAAAATGGAAAGCAAGAAGTAAAGGTAGTCTTAACAGATCAACAGCTTCTTCTGATTTCATGCAGCACACAAAAAGAATAAACAAGGAAAATTCTGGCAATGCATTAAGGCAATTCTTACACCCAAACAATTTGATAATGTAACATTGTGTACCAAGCCAGTGTTTTTCATAAATAATGATCTAAACAGAATACTAGTCAATTCACCAAAAGATATCAAAGATATCTCTTTATTACAAATGATCCAAGTGTCCCCCTTGAGGCTATGACTATCAGAAAGCATTTAGCTGGCTTTCCAACCAATAATTTTCAGATCTGTTTTATTATGAAACTGTAACACATTTTCAATAACTTTTAGCTTTGCTATACAGAGCAACAAATAATTTTCCAGAACCCTTTGGAAAATCTGACACACAAAATGATTCTCTAGTCAACTTGTGTATTATTAAGCTGAAAAACCCCCCATATATCGAATCATTTGATCACTGGAGAGAATGGCAAAGTATTGGGAGCTTCAGGACAGATGGACGAACTTCAGGTCATATAAAACACTACCAAGGCTGTATTTGAAGAAAAATGTGAAAGTTTGTGAAAGCGCCCCGGGTGAAAATACTTTGTGTTGCTAAGAAACATCATCCCTGATGATGGATGAATTAAATTGTCTCAGTTAGCAGAGCCAACTCCAGGCATCCCTCGTTTATTAAGAGAATGTTTTCTCATACTGGTAATTTATTTCAACAGCTACGTACAAATAAAAAGCCCTACCTTAAAATGAAACAGAATTTCAAACTTGCATAATTAATGCTACAAAATAGAGTTTACATCTTGAATAGAATTTAATAACTAACATTTCACAATGTAAACTCTAAAAATGAATATTAATACATCCAGACTATTAAGAACTTATTTTAGGATTGTCTGCAGAGTTGAACAGTGAACTCCCAAAATTACTCTATGTACAATCCAGTGAAGTACAAAACTCCTCAAATATTTCTAAGCACTGAACATTATCAATATTCAAGTAATCAAATTTTAAACATCACTGACAGAAAACGGCATTCGTCACAATAACAAGAACATAAAATGAGCATGAAAGAAATCATGCAAAGCACCTGCTTTGGTCATGTGGACATTGTCTTAATCTTGCATCTAGTTACTTTTTTAATGTCTTACTCACTGTTTCTCCTGCAGGACAGATTGGTGAAGTTAGGGCAGTGAATCTTTGCTTTTCTGAAGTGTTTGCTGTTGAACTCCCACAGATCATACCTGCTTTTCCCACCGTGCACTGCATTCGGTGAAGTCCTTCCAAAGGTACAGATGGAGCAGGAAAGCCTCCAGTTTCTCTCTTCCCACCAGCTGCACATCAGGCCAGAGGAGCTCACCTGAAAGGAGAAAGAACAGCAAGCACATCTCACCTGGCACAGCTCAGAGCAGGACACAACAGAGGAGAAGCACAGCAGTGGGGAGCCCCAATATAAAAACAGTCCCAAGGTCAGGAAGCAGCCCCATGATTGCTGCTCAGAGAGGAGGGAAAGGGCAGGGCTTCCTTCACAACCAGAGAGGAATATGCACAATTTTATGCCACCCAGAAACCAACACAGTTGTTGCACTGAAAACAAACCAAATGCAAAGCCCCATTTTCCAAGAACACAGCTGGCAAAGGGGAGAGTCATTAAAGAAAATGAATTTTCATTTGTCTGATGCCAAGGCTTTGGGGTTTTTCTTCCTAGTTACTAGATTGTGTTCTAATGGAGATTTCAAGTTAGAAATCCCAAATTTGAGGCCTACAGAGTCCAATTTAAGGAAAAAGGTGGAAAACCCTCTATAAACTGCTCTTTGGATTGCATCACAGTTACCAAGTCAGAAATTACCACACACAGCTACATGCCAGTAATGTGCTCAGCTAGTCAATACACAGAGGCAGCCACAGAGGCTCTTCATCCCAAATAACCCCACCACGGAGCAGAGTTACCACTGGAGAGCCCAAGGAGAAGTATTTAACAATGATACCAATTTGGCTGTGCTAGAGGAGATGTGTTTCCTGGGGGCCTAATAAGGAAGAGCTTTACAATCTGAGCAGAAGCCTTTCAAAGCCTCAGAGGACATGTCTTATCTGCACCACTTCTGCTCCTGGAATCCCAGAAATCCTGCAGACAGAAGGCAGATCAGACTGCAGCTTTCCTAGGCACAGATGTTGCACTCACATCTGCCTTAACTCTAAGCCGGAGTCCTTGTGTCTTCCCAACACTGTCAGCACCTCTTAGTTGCTTTGGTGTTGGGAATGCCAGGGGAAAGGATAAAAAAAGTGTTTCTGATCACATCAGGTGTAGTTAAAGACCAAAATAAAAGAAAAACATCTGCAGATTATATTCCAAACCTGTAGCAAGAAAGAAAAGGTTTTGAAGCACAGCATTTCTTCCCTTGTCTATATGTTTCACAAAATAGCACTTCAAATCTTGAGATCTGATTGATCAAAGTTGTTTTGGTTTTTTTTTTTAAAGTGTTGATCTAGCAGCCATGAAGAATGACCATTTGTGGGTCAGACATTGAAGTATAATTAAAGATTTTACACACCACTCAGAGAAACTAAGTCACCCACAGATGCAGATCCATGTAAACATTCTCCAAGCTTTTTTCAACTCATTAAAAATCCTCCCCTTAAACACCTATAGTTACAAGATGTCAGACTTGATTTGTCCCATTTCAGGTTGCTTAATGCAAGACAGACACAGACAGAAAGAACCAAGACCAGCAATAGCTCCAAAGACAACGAGGGAATCAAAGCACAACACAACTCTTCTGTGACTCCAGCACCAAAGGCTGGGTCTGCAACAAAGTACAGGTTGCAAGACTCTGAATATAATAAGCTTCCTCTTGGCATTTTCAGTGCAGGATTATTTAATGGTTTTATTTATTACTTAGATGATAAACATTATAGTTGCAAAATTTGGTAGTTACCTGGGAAATGCTGCAAGCATTCTGGGAAACGGAGTTAGAATTGAGAAAAGTGAGACTAAGGGATTAACAACAAAACTGAAACTGGTGTTTTAATACTGAATGAAATGCCAAAATTGAAAAATAATTCCGATTTATAATAACAATAATAGGAGCATCATATGAAAAAGATGGTAAGATTTATTCTGTTCATCACTGATCATAAGGTTGTACATTACACTCAGGTTTCAATACAGATGTATGAAACCAGCTAGAACGAAAACCTACGCCATCTGGGAAAGTTAAACAGTGAGTACAAAAATAAAAAGGTAAAGAAAGATGAGAAAAGCTTCAAAATAGGTTAACAGCAGCTACAAGAATCATGCCCTACTACTGTAATATCACCTGCAGAAAAAAAATGCTTAACAGGTTAGGGAAAAAATTAGAGTAGTATCAGAGGAAATATGCTACCTCTAGGGATAGTTAAACAAGGGATTAGGTTATGGAAGGGTTACACAAATCTCCACTGATTGTTTTTAAGACCTGGTAAGAAGAACACGCCAGGAATGGCCTGTACATCACTCTCTGGCCTGACACTGAACTACACACTCACACATCCAGTACAGGGCCTCAGCACAGAGCAGTGACCTCCCGAGATCCCCGTTTTCTTTCCTAAACTTAAAGGCTGCACAAGTTTAGGCTCCTGCCAGGCGACTCAGCAGGTGACTTGACTGCTCCTTAGAGCTCTGAGCAGGCTTTTGATATCTCTCTTTTCTAAATAGCCCAGGCAGGCTGTGATTGACAATTTTCTCTCACATGAAGCACGCTACCTTAAGCGTGGAGTACTCTGAATGATCCACCAGGGAAATAAAGTCAAAGTACAGAGAAGGCAATGGCAACTGATCGCAGGAATCCAGTCCTGGGAAGGAAATCACAACTGCCAAACTGGGCAAGGACACACATCCCATTAGTACCTAGAAATACAGACAGTTATATTTTCTTTTCTAGCACCTCCAATAAATAAGTCTTAATAAAAAGAAGTATTTAACAAAGTACTTAGAGAAATAAAGAGGGAAGGTTTGACGTTCCTAAGCTTATTTTCACAGCGGTATGAAAGGAAATGAGGTAGAGTCAGAGCTAATTCTCCTTATATAATTTCACATGGAATGATTAGTTCTGCCCCAACAGTAACAGCTTTCCAGAGGGTCCTACTTGTAGCCAAGATTGCATACAGATGCTCTAAAAGTGTAGCTTCCTTATTCTCCACTGACAACCAACATAAAAGGCCAATATAATATTCATTTTACTATAGAATGAAATTCACAGCATGAATAGTAAAATAATGTCAGAACTACCATGAAACTGCAGTGGCATGTTGGAGGCTGTGACTTTTAAAAGTTTAATCACAAAATGGATTCACAGAGAGGAGCGTGCAAAGCAGCCTCGTACTTCAGCAACATCCCATTGCCACTGAGGATGTCCAAGAGCTGTGTCTGGACAAGGAGAGAGCAAAGGCACAGAGGAGCATTCGTGTCACATGCCCTGCTGAATATTTTCCTTTAGAAGGCAGATTTCAATCATTACTGGGCTAATGCCCCCTCTCTATTAAGCCTGATTAGGACAGACATTCCACATGCTGAAGGTGCTAGAATTCCTGAGTCACCTGGGTTGCTCCTGGGTGAAATACCAATTACTGGGAATTCAGCTCAACCAGGCCCACAAAAAGAAAGCCCTGAAAGACACCCCTCAGCCCAATGCTGAACATATCACACAGATAATCCTAAAACTCCTTGCAAAAAAAAAAAACTACAATAGGTATCAGTACTCTTATAAAGCACTGCAGTGCTTTGTGTTTAATCCTTGAATAGACAGTAGTAAAAAAGCCATACTCAATTCCAAAATTTTTACTGCAAATTCCAGCTCAGCTGCTATTATTCCTGGCTTTTAAAGGATATATATATTTCATATATGCATAATAGTAAATTTAACTATCAGTGAAAAATTTAAGTCACATGCCAAAACAGCATGCAAAATAATAGCATACAAACTTTAAATGTGTGTATTTTGCAGTTTTTAGCACATCCATTTGTTTTACAAAAGACCTACAGATTAAATACAAAATACACTATTAGTTTTAGGCACAAGAACAACCAATTTTTTATGCCTTGCCTGAAATAATGACTAATTAGGCCAGCACCACCCTGCAGTCATTTCCATAAATCTTGCCTTTACATTCAAATCACAAGAAGAAAACTGACTTAACAACAAGAGCATATTTCTCATTAAAGTTTTCTTAAAGCAAGATCAGGACAAGAAATTATTCTGTAAAGTCAACAAGCTGATGTTATTGTTTATTTGGAGAACTTTAACTCAGACCAAACAAGAAGTTGCACTCAGAAATTTGCTGTATTAAACTGCAATCAGCCAGGGAAAACTTTCAACTGGGAAATCTTAAAACAGAATTTCACAGGATCTTGATAGATTTCTTATTTAGCTAAGTCATCTCACTGCATATTCCTTGTGTAAACCTTATAAAAGAACCAGAATATAAAAGATGTAATGTGTTCAACTACTTGTTGAATTTTTGATTTTGGGCATGTTCATTTTTAAAGTAAATATTAAAGCAGAAAGATACATAGGAAATACAATTCAGATGAAATGAGGAGCTGTACTTCAATTAAGATTTTTGTTTTAAAATGATGCTAATTACAGTGCTTCTGAGAAATCACTTAGTTATATATACTAGGCAAGATACTAATAAAAACACTTTATTTTCATAATGCACCTTTGTAAATAAAATATTTCTATTTTATTTACAAAGGTGTCACTGGTAAATAAACACCAATAAAACAGAATCAAAATGTATAGAGGCACGTACTCCCCAGTAAGTTTATTAACACACAACTCTGAGGTTAGCTTTTGTTCCTACCCCAAAACTGATTGGAAAGAACAGGAAAAAGTGAGGTTTTTTTCTAAGAGGTGGTCTAGAAATGGAGCTAAGCCACACCACCACTGCTCTGGCTAATCATCCATTCCAAGTTTTAAGCACTCCCAACCATTTCCTTTTGCATGTACACACAATGGCCTGTGATAGTCTGGAAGCTCTTCCCTACAATGACTTTACAACAGGTCTGTTTCTAATATGTGTATTTTATTAAGCTTTAGGAGGATTAATCAAGATCCTCAGTTCTTGAGGAAAATAAGGCATGGCAACAGCGAAATCTCCAGTCTTCATTCCAACACACTTGACCGCTGAATCCTGCCAGGGTGAGTCATGTCCACCATGGGACATGGATCCCATCCCAAGAAGGAATAAAACACTGCATCATATTAAATCTGCATCCAATTACTTAAGTGTGAACTCAAAGGGTGTGTTTTTATCTCAATGACAGCTTCTAAAAACAACTGTGAAAGAAATCTTGCACCCTGGATGGTGTTTTATCCATCAGGACCATGCCCACCACACATTTTCAGTTGCCAGAGGCATGGCCAAAGTGACCTTCTCAGGAAGCACTGTTGCACCTCCAAGAAGACAACATTCCCATGGTATTTAGGGCAATTTCATACTTGTACCACTGAGCATCAGTAACACAGACAGCCTGCTGCACAAACAGCCACTGACTGCCCAAAAATAATCCTGGAACAAAACTGGAAAACAGCATGTGAAACCACACTGTTGTAGAGCCACAATACATATAGATGTTTTCAGATGCAAAACTCATTAAATTCCCCTTTTTTGGGCCCCTCTAACATTTCTTTCACAACAATTCAGCACAACTACAGCAAATTACATATGTAATACATTCTGAATATTTGATTATATGCAAACCCATACACACACAAATATTTAAACCAAAGTTGCTTATCCAAGATCTACTTACTTCAGGATTTATGTATCATAACTGTTTGTATTCTTTGCTTTGACATTAAAAAATAATTATTCAGGGGAAAAAATACAAACCACCCTTAGTGCCTGGCCTTGCCTCTTTTCCTCTAACTTCTGCATTTCATCATTAGTGTTACATACTTCACTGTTAATTTTAGACATTCCTCCAGTTTTCATTTGGACATCAAAGACCTACTCATACCCAAAATACCAGCAATCTGAAATACTGGCTTCCCTACTTATTGTCATTTATAACTTGAAAAGATCTTTGATTTCTTGCCTAGAGGAAATACTGCCGATCAAAAATAAAACATATATATGCCCCCATGAATTCCTATAGATGGGATCCAGGATTTAGGATAATGGACTGAAGAAATGGTTCTTAGATTTACATTTCCTACCCTGCCTGGGCTTCACACGTTTATTTTTACTTTCACATCTGACATGCAGCAATATGGCCAGCTAAGGTGTACGTTTAAGACATCCTTTGATATAAATCCACGGAGAAGTGAAATTCACACCAGGTTCTCTGTCCTTGCAGCACTCAGGCCCCGCTTCCCCACCGATAACTGCTCCACTTATGGATGGCTGGGGGCAGCCCAAGGCTGGCTCTCCACAGCCCCTTGTTAACAATTCTGCCACCAAAGATTAGTGATTTTCCTGCTTTACAAACTTGGTAGAGAACATTTCTCACATACAAATGGGGAAAAAAAAAATGGTAGCCAGTTTTTTCTCTTTTCTGAAATGCCTGATGCATGAGATCCTAACAGCCTTGAGTTTGTATTTAGAGTTTGCTCTTCACTTTTGCAATTTTTTTAAATTAAAAATAATAGTACGTTACACAAGTAATTCCAAACAATGAGAGACTCTCTCTATTCAACTCAGCAAGCCATTTGCTTTGTTTTTGTTACTACTCCCACTGCTCAACAGCTCATGTCTCAAGCAGTGGCACAATCAACATTAAAATGTTGCTCTTTATACCAGTATCATAAAATATAATCATTAAACAGTTCAGGTTGGAAGGAAACTTAAAGATCATTTTATTCCAACTCCTTGCCATGGGCAGGGACATCTTCTACAAGATCAGGTTGCTCCAAGCCCTATCCAGCCTAGCCCTAAACACTTGCCACTACTATAACAAAGAATAACTCTCATACCACTAGAAATTTTTACTTTATTTCCCTACAACAGAACTCAGTTCTCTTCAAACAGGACTGTATGTGTTACATTTGTGAACCCAACTTTTATAGAAACAGCAGTTACCACTTTTATTTAACCAGGTGACATCTCAAGTCTATAGACAAGACAATTGGAGTAGCTAATCCAAGACAGTATTCCACATTAAGGATTTGCTCAACATCTGCAGGAGAAATGCCTCACCCCCATGGCTCTCCCAAGCTGGACTATATGGGATTGTTTTGGATAAACATAATCTGATCTTGTAAAGCCAAACAACGGGATGCATAGATATTTCATTTCTTTTCTGTAGTTATATTCCAGCTTACAGACAGTAAGAATTGAAATACAGCAAATGGTGCCAGAACTACTTGCCCTCTCTATGTCAGGAAGTGCTTGGTGTTATCACAGCTTCCAACAATCATTCAGGTTTTGCACAAGGGGCTGATTCCAGGAGCCCTAAGTGAAGGAAAGTACACTAAACATGTGCTGTTTCAACGGTAAAATCATCTGCTTAGACACTTCCACCAGTGCAGGACATTGGTCAGAGACCACAAAACTTTGCTGCTTTGATCAAAACAGAAAGTAACAAACTCAGTGCTGTAAAATTGGGACAGAGGCCTAAAATGCTCTAGGCATGTGGCTCTGAGCTATGGGCTCAAAGCACTCTGCAGTCACAGAGTGCAGAAAACATTTATAAAAAGCTAAACCAGGAACTTTTTGTTTTCATATTCTCAAATTTTATTGAGCAGAAATGTTTGAGGATAGTTTATTGCTTTTACCGGCCACTCTAAAATGGGCCTCCAGCCAGCTAGGTCTTTAAAATATGTCTATATCTCTGGTTTTAAAACAACATTAAGGAAGTTGTATAATTTTTACACTGGAGTCTGAGTGACTTAGCAGCAAAAGCGACAGGTTTCAGCTGTAACACAGCCACTTCACAAGCCACAAGCAGCACTTTTGCAACAGCACCTGTTGCACTTGGTATCGATCTGATGCAAGGGGTCCACAAGGGTTAATTAACAGGTGTTTAGCTCATGGAACATCCCAGGAGACTCAAATTCAGGTGTACCAGAAATCAAACTGCATTTCACCAGCTGGGGGAGGAATGTGGTGCTCTGTTTGTAAAGTACCAACACCCTGAGCTGAGCAGGATTTTCTTGCGAGGTGAAACCGTCTCTATCATTCATTAAAGGGGGAAATTGACCAGAAGGTTGTAACCAAGTCAATTACAAAACATACTCGTGTACTACTACACTTGCAAACAGCAAGGTGTTTATATTACATTAAGAATAACCTTCACTTTTTTATATCTACACAAACTCAAAAAAAAAAAACAGGATCAATTTAAAATCCTATCTCCTCTTATGTGATTTGTGCAACCTGGACTCACAGTACTTAAACTGACTTTAGTACACCTGGACTTTCAAGAAAGAGGAAAAAAAAGGCGAGAATACACATGACATGAGGCCTTGAAAATTAAAGGCCTCAATTAAAATTCAATATTGTATTTCATATAGAGGCTCTTTACATAAAAACCCTGTCATGGTTAAGATTTAAGGTTAACCAGGTTAATAGAATCCAATAAAATAGTTCTATTGAATTATGCCAAGCCGTTGTTATAACCCACACTAAAATCTGCTATTTGCTTTTACCTATTGGGCTCAACTTTGAAACGTAAATTAAGCTTCAAACTATTTCCCACAGTCCTTAAAAAAACAAAGTACATGCTTTTGCACCTTTAAAGGTTTCTCTCCTCTAGTCTGCTACTCCAGTCATGTGTTGAAAGATTTGTGCAGACCTGCCAAATCCCATTCATCCCAGACACACTTCCCTAAAGTTGGGATGTGTTTACAAAGTATATTTAAGCAGCTCCTCTGCTGCAAAGCGTTCTGTTCCAGGGCATACTTAGCTTATAATAATAAAGCCGATTTCCTAAAATCCACATGTTTTGTACAAGCAGTGTCCTTAATGTTTTTGCCTTCCTTCTTCTAAAAATCTTGATGGAACGCCAAAGCTAAGGATAGCTTCACCAGCAGAACTGCTCATACGCATCAACATTTTAATTTTGCTACTTGGAACCAAACCGGGTTCAGATTTTGCCGGTACCTTTAATGACTCGCTAAAAATCAGCCCCTACACCTTGCGTGGCGAAATAAAAGGGAAGAAGAGGAGTGTGCGTACTAAACATCCTCCTCAGGGCAGCGGGACCGCGCGGGGCCCGGCGGGGCTGTGGGGACGGGCCGGGCCGGGCCAGGCCGCGCTGCCCGCCCGCCGCAGGGCCGGGAAGGGGCCGGGAAGGGCCGGGAAGGGGCCGGGAAAGGCTGGGAAGGGCAGGGGCGGCCGCAGCCGCGGTTCGAGCTCCCGGCCCCGCCGGCAGCCATGTCAGAGCGGCGGGAGGCGGCCCCGCGGCTCCCGGGCATTGGCCGCTGCTCCGGGGCACGGCGGGCCCGGGCTGCCCGCGGCGGGCGGAGCCGGCTGCTCCGCTGCCCTCGGTTCCTCTCGGCTCCCCCCGCCCAGCGCGCCCGCAGTCCTCTCCGCCGCCGGCCCTCAGCCGAGCGCCCGCCCCGCTGACCCCTTCCCCCCCTCCCGGCTGGCGCGGGCGGCCCCGCTCTCACCCCACCCCGAGGGCGCTCACCTCCTCCTCCTCCTCCTCCTCCTCTTCCTCCTCCTCCTCCTCACTCCCTCCTGGAGACGGTCGGCACCGACGCGGCGGCGTCCCGGCCCCTCCCTCAGCTCAGCGCCGGCCCCCCCTTCCGCCCCGCCGCCCGGGGACCCTCCCTGCCCGCGGGGAGAGCCCGGCTGCCGCCCGGGCCGCGGGAGACGAACCGAGGAAAAGCGACGAGCCCCTCCGCGAGAGTTTTGGGAGCGGGGAGGGGTGGGAGGAATAAATAACAACAAGTTATGCACCAAGCAGGCTAAATAAAAACAATTAGAAAGAGGATGGTTTTCTGGGAGAAGCAGCTGAAGAGTGACAATCGGGGTTGTTGCCAGTTAGATGTGAGTAGGAGGTGTGGGTTCTCTCCGTAACTCAAGCCTTCTCAGGTGATGCAGTCCTGGGAGAAGCTGAGCAGGTGTTATCTTAGAATCATCATAGATGCGGAAAATGGTTTGGGTTGGAAGGCACCTTAAAGACTTCCTTGTTCCAACCTCCTGCCACAGCCAGGAACACCTTCTACTAGACCAGGTTGCCCCAAGCACCATCCAGCCCAACCTTGGATAGTTCTAGGGATGCGGTAAGTCACAGCTTCCCTGGACAACTTGTTCCATCTTCCCAATAAAGAATTTTTTTCTAATATCTAATATAAACCTGTTTTCTTTGAGTTTGAACCTGTTCCCCCGTATCCTGTCACAACATGGTCTTGTAAGTTGTCTTGTCCCATTTTTCCTTCAAGTTCCCTTCAGACACAGGAAAGTCACACACAACGAAACTACCCCGAAGCCTTCTCTTTTCCAGGCTGGACAATCCCAATTCCTTCAGCCATGTGCCAAGGAGAGGTGCTCCATCTCTCTCATCAACCTGGTTGCCCTCCTTGGAGGTGTAACTGTTACAGGCAGGTGTATCAAACCCTCTTTTTGCCCACGCTGAGTAACAAACCTTCCCAGCAGAACTATTCTAGAGGAGAAATGTTTTGTCGCACTGACTCAGTTTAGCGTGGTGTTATCTCTGGTATGTAGACAGAAACATTTTTTTTTTTAATAGGAAGTTAAAATGAGTAACACCTAATGGAGTGACAAAGCAGAATTTCCAAGGAGTACAGTCGTGAGAAGCATCAACGCCAGTAACTTGAGGAATTATGTATTTTTTTTTTCCCTGCTCTGGCTAGTCAGTGATTATGAAAGAGTGAGGAGAAGGCTGATTTGCATGAGAAATACCCTTAGGATAATGCAGCATTTTGTTTCACAGGTTTTTGGGTTCAAAAATCCTGGTAAAGTTGTTTTCCAGTAACTTTCCACTGTTCTGCACCTCTGAATTCTTGACACTGTAAAGCTATGGAAATGTGAAAATATCACAAAGGAGACAGTTCTTCATAGGTTTTACCTAGGCAGATGTGGTAAGACCTGAATATCTTTTAATATTTATCATGTACATTATAAATAATTTTATAAGGTTGTGTCTTTCAGACAGGGTGACAGATGAGGAGGCCTTCAGTCCAGCTGAATAATTTGCCCCTGGCATGTGCTGGAATGCAAACAGGATGTTTTATCAGCAATTTATGGATAGAAAAATTGAGGAAAGGAAGTGAAGGCATTTATTTTCCAAGTGTAGAAGTGCTCATTTGTAAGCAGGCAATTTAGGCCTGAACTTTTCTTCTCCCTTTTTTTTTATTTTTTGAGGAAAAGGACCGTGTATATACAGTTCCCATTGAAACTACATTTGAGGCACCCAAGCAGAAAGTCTTTGGCCATACTCTTTTGGGGTCCTGCAGCCCTAATCCCATGTTCTAATTGGCCAGTAATCTGTGGACAGATATTGTAACAGTTCCTTTAGAATATTTTTCTACTTCTCACTCATTTGCATACTAATGGCATAAAAATAGGCACTTCCTGCCAGTAATTAGTTGGAGCCCAGAATTTAAAGAAAGAAAAACACCACTGCATTATGGTAGATGGATGGTACTGAGGAAGCTGCAAAATAGAGTCACTTCTCTGGTGCTCAGAAAGTGCCTTTAATTTAGAGTTCAAGACTGGCAACTCTGTTACCTCTGTGTGACAGGGATTAACTGTTTGCTTGGCCTAATAACTTTGCCTCTAATGAGCCCCTCTAACTTTTTTCATGGCAAATCACTCGATCTGTCCTGCACCCAGGCTCGCTGCTGTAAAATGTTTTTCTTTTTTTGCCTTTTTCCCAGAAGGAATAATGCTGGCAGTCTGTGAGTGGAGTTCCTTGTGGCTCACCGTGACTCAGACCAGCACGGAGGCTGCTCAAGGGTTCCTCACCTAATGAGGCACTGTGGAACCCATACCACATCAGGTCACGTGAAGTTCTAAGTTAAAAGAGCCCTTAGGAGCTGTGTGTAAGTATGGGGTTATTTGACTTCTCACATGTAGGCCATAGACTTGACTGCAAACCAAGCTGGTGATAGCTGGAAATTTTCCTTTTCTGATACAACAACAAAGGTATCTTTGGGTTTACATATCATAGAATCATGGAACAGTTTGGGTCAGAAAGGACCTTAAAGATCATCCAGTTCCAAGCAACTTCAGTGAGACGGTGAAAGTTTATTTTGTTGCTTTCATTTCCTAAATTCTGGAGATCCTCAGGACATGGAGCTGCTGGAGTGAGTCCAGCAGAAGATACAAACATGATTGAGGGTTTGGAACATCTCTGTTCTCAAAGAACCAGGGGATGGATCCAGTGAAGGGTGTTTATGCTGCTTAAGACTGAAACCTGCAATGCAGAGTAAATGTTTGGGTCCCTTAACAAGATCCAGAATCACAGAATGGCTTCGGTGGGAAGGGACCTTAAAGACCATCCAGTTCCAACCCTTCCTGTAATGGCCAGAAACATTCTACTATCCCAGATTGCTCCAAGCCCCATCCAGGCATGGTCCTAAACACCTTTACAGATAGGGTAGCACAGCTTCTCTGACCATCCTGTGCTAGGACTTCCCCACCCTCACAAACAATAATTTCTTCCTAATATCCAATCTAAACATACCCTCTTTCAGTTTAGAACTCTTCCCCCTTGTTCTGTCATTCTGGGCCCTAGTCCCTGTCCCTCTCCAGCTCTCCTGGAGCCCCTTTAGGCAGTGAAAGGGGCTCTGAGCTCTCCCTGGAGCCTTCTCTTCTCCAGGCTGAACAAATCAGCTCTCTCCATTTCTGGAGATGCTCCACCTTTCTTACACCTTTTATTTTCCCTTCCCTCCATCCAGCCCACTTTGTTGCCAATCTTAATGTCAACCATGTGCCAAACTCTCTATTACATTGTGCTGAACTTAGAAGTGAAATTGTGTCACTTTTTTTTTTTTTAAATCTTGAAAAGCAAACCTTGTGAAGCTTGTATCCAGCAGAACTATAGTGCCAGAAAGTATTTGCCTGAAAACTTTGAGACTGTAGCTTATTAAAGCACAGATCCTTAAGATGATTGGGTCTATTCCATTAGTAGATTTATAAAGTGTGCAGACTGGATAAACAACAGTGACAGCTTGGGGAAGTGTATGCACCTGTTTATTAAAAAGACGTTAACAAGGGCAAATCTAAAATAAGAACATGTACCACAACCCAATTTTCAGCAAATTTTTATGCATGCCTACACTTAAGGTTACCAATGTTATTGGCAATTCCTCTCTCTCTTTTCTCTCTCAGAAGTACACGGCAACTGATGAGCACGGAGCATCTGTGGCAAAGGAAAAAAACACCGTCTTCAAATTTTGAGGAGCAAACATGACCCTTTCTTTTTCTACTGTTTTCCACCCACGTTCAGTTAGTGTGAGAGAAGAAAGAAAATGTAAAAAAAAAAAAAAAAAAAAAAAGGCAGAAATATTTTCTTTGCAGGGAAGGACCGAAGAATGTATTGTTCTCTCATTCACAAGCAAGCACTTTCATCACCTCTACTTCCATTTTGCTCTACATCATAAGTGACAGCGAGTTTTCTGTATTTTGCTGGTATAACTTAGAAGGGGTCATGATTCTAAAAGTTCTCCTGCAGAACTGAGTCTTCTGTTTGGATATATGCAAATTCTACAGCGCTTATGCCACTTGTACTTTGCAGATAGGTATAAGCATATGCAAAAATGGAGATTATATGTGTACATGCAAGTTTTCAGAATTAATCAACCAAGAATGTACAAAAACTACAAATGCTTTGCTGAAATTTGGCTCAAAATAGATTTCTGAATTAGCCTGCTGTAGCAGCTTTCACTCAAGCTTGCTAAATACACTCAATTTTTATAAATAATTAATAACTTATAAGATTTGCATGATGATGGGGCTTGGAGCAACCTGGTCTAGTGGAAGGTGTCCCTGCCTGTGGAAAGGGCATTGGAAGGAGATGCTCTTTAAGGTCACTTTTAACTGAAACCATTCCATGAATCTATGATAATACCATTGCCCCAGAAAAGCATTTTAGCAATATATCCCAATCTTGGGAGGACCTGGTGGTACTTTTGTCTATTCAAAATTGCAGTAGTAGTGTTTTTATAAGTATAAATTGCTGTTGGCCTGGAGCGCCTCCAGGATTAGATCTTAATCCTCAAAGATATGTAAGTGCTCCCACCTTCTTTTTTGAGATTGAAAACAGGAAACTGCATGGGTTAAAAATCGAGTAAATAACTAAAATTTAGGCTCCAAACTTATCAAGTGTATTGCAAGCACTGTCACAAACCCTTCTTGGAGTCACCATCATGTCAGTTGTTGATGTAAATATTTTTGAAGAAAAATCAAAGCTCTGAACTTGCCTAAATCCTGTGTTTCAGAGGATGGCCAGAGTACAGAATAGATCCCTCAAACACATCTGATTATTTCTGTTATTATGAACTGAAGCAAAGGGTCCTTGAATATTTCTCACAATTCAGCAGACAAAAAAAAAAAAAAAGCAATGTTTTACTTCAGTCTACCTTTTACTAGAGCTGGGTACAATGGGATGTGATTATTTTAGGAACATTAAAAATATCTACTATCTTCCTCCCATGCTAGGTAGAATAGTAGTCTGAAGTAGTTTTGCTTTGTAATTTTCTGAAACGAAGAATTCTGACTTAACCAAACCTCTTCAGAAGGAAGCTAGCTGATATTATCTTACTTCCCTCTTTTCTTATTGTGGAATTGTTGAGAGAATGCCAGTTGTTGCTACTTGTCATCACAACTTTCTAGTCCATATTATTGCTCGTTAGAGGCAATAAATGTTAACCAGTAGACTACTTAAAACTTACCAGTCTGCAGAATTTGAATGCATAGGTAATAAAATGAAAATTTTAAATCTGGGTTTGCATTCATTAATTTCACACACACATAATACCTACCTTATGAAAAATAATTCTCCTTTATTTGTCTTCATGGTATTTGTTCAGCAAATTTTTTAAAGATTTTTATTTCTTGGATGTTATACTATTCAACAGAATAAATGCTTCTTTTTGAAGGGATTGCAGCAAGAAATGGGAAAACTGGGAATGGCAGGATGAAATACCAAGGATGATGATCACTGAGATACTTTTGGCTCCAAACAGTCCTGTTTTGTCCCACAGGCATGGTAGTAAGAGTGTGTAAGGTACCAAGTTTGCTGAAGGGGGTGAATGGCTCCTGGGGCTGGTCCTGCAGACAGTGGATGTGTTGAGGGATGTGCACATGTGTCAGAGCTGCACTGAGCTCACTTGCTCTGCTAGGACTGAGCTAATGCACAGCTGATTCCTCTCTGGGGGAAACCTTGATTCTGAGTTTCAAAGGGGACCCTTTCAGTATTTCTAATGATTTTTTTGGCTACAAAACCTGGCAGTCTTAAAAAGTTGTTGGGGACTCTGACACCAAAGTGTCACCTACAGAGCTGAGGCAAAAGAATTTATACCACTGCTGCCCACTGCTCAGAAAAGCAATGGTATAAGTACTATCCCCCCCCACCCCCTCCCCAAAAAAAAAAAAAAAAGTCAAGCTCTGTAAGCAGATTAACAAAGCTGTTTGCTATTATGGACGAAAGCAGCAGGGGAAAAAAAAAAAAAAAGGAGAGGAAATGGGCTGTATTACTGTGAGTTGGCACAGAAATTAAATACCAGGCTGCAATTTATGTATAGTAATTGTTCACGAAGCATTCTTTGGGTTTTGATAGTGACTCATTGTGTTCTTTCTGACCTTTGATGTACAGGATGGGCTGCTAGAAGACAGAGGAAGCCACAGTAAGAATATAAAACTTTATTAACTTAAGATTTTGTTGGTTTGTTTGCTTTTTTTTATTATTGCTCATTGGTAGGTAGTATCTCTGGAAAAGACAAACAAAGGCATTTACCTTGAGCCCTCATGGGTTTTGCCATCTCTCCCAGGCTTTTGTAGTTGAACAAACAGTTGAAAAATAGCTTTGGTTTTAAAAAGGAAATTTGCTAAACAATTGGTTGCTGACGTTGATTACTGAGTTCTGAAAAATAAGATAACTGATTGCAATACTATTGTGTTAGCAGCCCAGGTAATAAGCAGTATAAGCCCTGCTCTGTACAAGACACACAGAAAAGTTACCAAGAAGATATTCTTCTGAGTGAATGTTTTATGTTTTAAAGAAAATTATGGAAAAAAGCCTCCATAGAGTCATGAGAGTAGACACAACAGACTCTTCAGCACCGTTAAGTTCCATTATGTAAATCCACAGTGATGTAAGCCAGACACTGTCAAGTTTGATACGCCCCAAATTTGACCTAATTAGCCATTTGGTTGTTACTTTTTTCAAAGCTTGTGCAACTGGGCTCAGTTCAGGATACAGATGCTAATTGAACACGTAACCTACAGGTGCTAAAGAATCCTTGCAAAGGAAGGACTATCCTATTAGGAATGCAAGTCAAGGCCCAGGGTCATCGGCTTGGATGGTGGGGATGGGAAAAGAAATCCCATCTACAGCTCTCTTCACATGGCCATGTTATTTCCAGGAGTGAAATTCAAATTCAGGGTAAACCAATGCAATCTAACAGAGATTTGCCAACTGAAGCCACTCAGGCCTCAGGGATGGAACATTGCTTCAAGCTTTTAGAAAGCTGAGAGTTTATGAGGCAAAGCCTGAAGTGGTTTACTCTACCCCCAGTATCAAACACACCCCTGTGCAAGTCAGAGCTGAAATTTTCTCCTGCTCTTTGACCCACCATGGGATCTGTAGGTGCCTCCACTCTGCCACATGACTTGGCTTTGCCTTTCACCTATCCCATCTCTATCCACGTACTCCAGCCTGAGATCATCACCTTTACACCCATGTCCTCTTCCCACCCATTTGCCAAGCAGGAGTGCAGTAACCTTTTGTCATGACTACACCTTGGCCCAGATGCTGCCATGTAAACACTCTCCTCTGCTGTTTCCCTGCAATGCCCAAACCAAAATGAAATGAGATAAAAAGAGCTGCACAGCCTCTGAGTTTCCTGGCTTTTATCTTTTTATACCAAAGCCTTTGTGTTAATTTTGCATAGCTATTTTTACATGAGGAATAATATCCTGAATTACTGCTATCACGTGCACTTCAGAATCCCACCTCACCATCCTCAAGTCATCTGGCAACCTGATAGTGTTTCCTGCTCCTTCCCTCACATCAGCGCTGCAGAGAGCTTTGCTAAAAGTTTCACATCTGAAAAAGCAGATGATTTGGCAACACCTTCCTATAGATTTTTTCTTTTCCTTAAAGAAGTGTGCCTGTCTTTGAGTAAACTTTTCTTTCCAACTGTTCTTTTTTGTCAGCTTGCCAGCTCAACTTCTAGTATTGTTCTGCAGAGATTGCTGTAAGGAAAAATGAAAGAGAAGAGAAAGGTAGAGAACTGGGGGAAAGGGAAAAGGGGTTCAAAGGGCATTTAAAGCCTGGGGAGCCTAGCATGGAAAGGGAGATAGGCTTAGAAAACAGGGAATAAAATGGTGGAATGAGAGATAAAACAAAAACATAAAGGATAAGGGATTAGAGAGATAAGGAGTTCAAGAGATGAAATGTGAATAAAGGAAAACAAGAAAAATAAGGATGAAAGGAGTGACAGGAGTAAGACATGTAAACAATTAACTAGGAAAATATTCTGTTTATTTTAGTGAAAGAAAATTATAGTATCTTTATTATTCTCTGGTTTACTAGTTCAGAGGAATTTTTCAAGCTAAGAGCTGACACTTGGGTAGTATTACTGAACAATGATAAATATAAGCCTTCCAGTTGTTGAATTAACCCATTCTGAATTTGTTTAATTAATATGACATTCAGACAGTTAAAATTTGGGTGAGAAAAGCAATAAGAAATATTAACCACTGCAATAGAAATTGCAGATCTGGAAGAACACTTCCCAATATTTGCAGTTAAATCCATCAGCTCATTGATAATCACTCCAGAGCAGAGTGGCACGCTGAAGATTAATGGGAGAGAGATGAAGAGAGCAAAAATATTTAAAATCAGTGCTGGGTTCAATCTTCAGCATTGCCCACTGACCAGGACAAAATTGCTCAAGATCACCATTTTTCTGTGAAAGTAGTTCTCAATACTTTTTCCCCATAAAGATATTCATCATAAAGTGTTATCAGGTCTCAGTTTCTGCCTGAGCTGTTCATACAGGTCACATAATGTGGTGGAACCCAGATAATATTTCTTGTTTTCCCTGGTTGTCTGAGCACATATCATCAGGAAGCTGAAATTTTGTCAAACCCACACTGCTTTTTGGGGTATTTTTCACAGAAATACTATGTATACCTACAAGTCTAAAGTAATCATCAAAATGCCCTAACACAAAACCTCACAGTTTTTGTGCTTGATCCTGGAAGTCACCAAACATCTAGCTTAAGCCATCATCCCTCCCTTTCCACTACTCTTAAACTTGCATAATATAGTTCAGATCTATAAAGGAAGATATTCCTTGAGGTCAGTTTCTTGATATATAGAATTTTTTCCTGCCCATGTAGCTCCAAAGGCTTCTGAGCAGGTCTCAGGCTCCTGTGAAGGTTTCTGAAGACACAGTCAGGGTGTTACACATCCCTTTTCCTCACACTTGATAGGACAATCTCCCAACAGGATTTCTTCCCCCAGAGCACCTACAGAGAAGAGGAAATGAAGTCTAATGATTGCCAGTCCCAATTTTGGAGCCATCCAGGCCTATTAATTCTGTCAGAAGGAGAGGAATCTTAGGATTTAAAGGTTTATTTCAGTACAAATCATGAATTAGTCAATGGGAAACTGGATTTACTTGAAAGCAAAAAAACCACATTAAAGCAACACTAAAACAACCTTGTTCCAACCCTGTGAACCCAAACTGAGCAGTCTAAAGTACCTAAGAGCCATAGGAGACAGTTTTGTATTTACAGAAGGACTTACGTCCTCTCCTGAAGTATTTGAGGTATTGCAATGAGAAACCACCAGTAACAAACAGCAATTTAAACATCCTAAATTACATTGTGTAAAGTCTCGGCTTGCCAAATGCCTGAATGAAAAAGGATGTGGAAGATGGGCTCTCCTTCATTCTAATTCATCCCATATTCTGAGAGTATCTGTTAAAAATAGGACATTTTCTATTCCCTAATAATAATAATTTTCCATAGACAGCTGTTGATGTGCCCATAAGTTCACAATAGCTCTTTTTGCAGTGGATTGTAATAACAACTTCTTCAACTCTGTCTTTGAATTCAGAGCTGTACGAGCTATTCACCGCGAGCACTTTAATCAGTGAATTTCAGCTTTTATTCTGACTTTGGTTTGTTATAAATGCTACACGCAGACATTTGATATAAATAAACTTTGCCCCAGTGATTTGTTCACAACATGTTTTCACTGCAGAGTTTCAATATCCATCATTACCATTGCACAACTGCTCACCTTGGCTGACCAGGGTTGTTTGTTCTGGGAAAGAAGCAGTCACCAAGAGGAAATTCGTGTCGTGGGGCCATGATGGTCCGATGGATAAGGTGTGCTCAGTTTAAGTCAGGAGGAGCAAGATCACAAGACTGAAGAGGTTTTTAGGACTATTTTAATATTTCCGTTCCTGTTCCCTTGACTCAGACCTTGCTTGTAACATCGCTAGGAGAACAAAGAGGCCACTTGAATGTTATAGGCTGAGGTCAAATTGAAAATTAATGATCTCTTATCACATTCAGACAAAGCTCCAGCTGCAAAGGGTGGGGTTGGGTGCTTTTCTGGTTTATTTAATAGCCACTGAATCAGGGCTGTGAACAGGGCTTGCCTAGTTAGAGCTGCAAAAGATGAGCTCACATGCCATTTTTTGAGTCCCTCTGCCATGCCCTCACCAGAGCCTGGCCTGGCAATCCTTTACATGGCTGCTG